GCCCTGTGATAGACTGGTTACCTGTCCAGGTGAACCTGCCTTCACCCTGAGTCAGCTGGGATAGACTCCAGCCCCCCATGGCCCTAGTGAGGATTAAGGTATAGAGATGATGGATGAGGTTCCAGAGGCTTTCATATGTAGCAATAAACCAGTTATCAGCTCAAAATATCCCTTATTGCTCTTTTTCGGAAAAGTACTTGTCTTACTACCTAGTGAATCAACAGAATACAGCTTTAATAAAAACATTGACAGCTGCAGCTTTAATTGTGACAGTAAAGTCGATACAGGCAACATTTTGGCACCAAAAACATGACTCATGAAGACATTGATAGGTCCACACTGTATGGACCCTTCCTAAACAAGACTATTTCTGAGCAGCTTGGTCAGGATTGGTTTGATGGCAACTTTTCTATTTATTTAAATAATATTGAATTGAATCCTGTAGCTGTTCTCAGTCAACGGCACTAAATCACTGTTTTCCACCGCTTTTCCAGTTTGCAACAGTATCATCTGCCATTTTGTTTTGTGTGTGTTACTTTGATGTGGATAAATACTTATGCAGTCACTAATTTGACATAATTTTTTACATTTCTTGGTCAAAATCTGTTAAATTCTTATCCAAAATATCATGGTTTAATGCTGAAAAAGAAACCTTCCAAGGGAGGTGAAAACTTCTATAGGCACTGAACAGTAAACGCAGTTTTCTTTATAGTACTATCAGTTGTGTATACAGTTGTATTTATTGTACTCTATGTTTTGCAGGAATATTTATATTATCAGCTGCAATTGCAGGGTCATTTGTAGTACTATCAGCTGTATTTGCAGTGTTCATAATACCTCTAAATTGATTCGTGACAGCAGGACTGTAACTGAACAATCTGAAAACAGGCAGATATATCCACATCACTGAATCACAAGCTTAGCAAAAAAACTGTGAAAACATGAGTGAGACTCAGAAAACGGCAGGAGGAGAAACTATTTTAAAGCTCTGTCGTTTGTCATTTGAAGTTTCTGCAGGATCTAAACATTAAAATGACTTCCTGCAGCAGCAACACGTTCAGAGCATCTCAGACTCCTGCTGTGTGTTCACGAAGCATTAAATCATTCAAAACATGAAGGAATCGACACGGAGGATTAATGTTCATATTTACTGCTTTTCAGGATTTCTAGTTTAATAGAGCAACAGATTACTTCTGTGTGAAAACAAAACAAACAGTTAAATTCATCCTGAAAATCTCTAACAAAATGTCTGACTTATTCATGTCATTTCCAGCCAAAAGAAGATAAAATTTCACTAAAAATCATCTATTTTTGCAGGTTATTCACTGGTTTTAGATGCCTTCTGGTAACAGCGGTGGAGCTCAGTGTTTCAGTCTCCACAGTCAAAGTCCAGACGCAGTAAGCTTTTCCATAATTGAACAAATCAGCTCTATCCGGGCTGACTGTGATTCTGACCAATAAACTGGATGACTGACACTGAACTCTTTTAGACTGTTGAAATAATTTTCCAACAAGAAGCAGCATCTCTAAGCTAACAGCAAACACTGAGTTAACCCGGTTAGTTAACTTTACCTTGTTAAATTGATAAATTCAACAGTAAGACACACTGGTCACACAGACTTTTGATAATTAAAAATACTGACTCCACAATCCGTCTGTCAACTCTGGAGATTTATTCATGTCTCAGTGTGTTTTTATGATTAAGGCAGGAAGTACAGCCACAGGCACTGAGGGGGTGGGGCCTGGTGGGCAAAAGGGCGGGGCCCCAGCATCACAGCTTGGCCTTGTTCATGCGACCCATCAGTTTGTCAAGTTTGATGGCGAGCGTCATGTCGCCTTTGATCCGCAGCTTCCCCGACATGAAGGCCAACGTGGGCTTCAGGTTCCCTGAAACAGCACACACACACACACACACACACACACACACACACTGTTGTTACCATGGAAACAACTCTGAGCTCATGGGGTCTTTGGGCTTTCACCTCTCATGGTTGCCATGTCGATGGCTCACCTGAAAACATCTTGCTAAAGTCGCTTGAGTCCATTGTCATGACAACATCCGGTTTGACGGGCGGCTGGCCCTGCCCCGCGCTGCCGGAGCCGCTCTTCAAATCCAGGAACCAAACGCCACTGTGTTCACCTGATATCGACATAAACATGATCATTTTACAGACATGCCCACTGGACATCCATATATGGACATAAACAGGACCGTACTAGAGGCAAGTCAACAATGTACTATGACACACCCACAGGACATCCTTATATGGTCTGAGATCAAATATTACAGACATGCCCGCCAGACTCTTTAAGTAGTCCTAAACAGGATCGTATTACACACACACCCACAGGACATCTTTATATGGACATAAACAGGATCATATCACAGACACACCCACTGGACATCCTTAAATGGACATATGGTTGTCTTCCTAACACACTGCTGTTGTTGTTACCTGACAGGTCAAACTGGTAGATGCCTTGTGTTGCCTTGACAACGTCTTCATTGATGACCCCTTTGATGACGTCAAATGTGCTTTCTATTGGTCCACCGGATGCAAGTGTGGCTGAAGATGATGATGGTGCTTTGAAGGCTGGGGTTGCCCCTAGCAACCAGAAGAAAGACACCGGGGGGCACTAGTATTACTATTACCACCAGCTGTGTGTGTATGTGTTTATATATATATATATATATAGTAGTATTTATAGTATAGTAGTATTTATAAAGCAAAGCAGTATTTGTAGTACTATCAGCTGTGTGTATAGCAGTAGTTATGTGTAGGAATGTTTGTAGTATTTACCGTGTTGCTCCATCTGCTGAGCCAGTGACTCTGGTGCTTCATCAAGGAAGAAGTCTGGCAGCAGGGGGTGACCTATCGATGAATCACAGACCACCATGAGCACCACATGACAGTGCATGAGAACGGCAGACTATAACAGACTGTAGCTAGGTTAGCATTAGCTCAGTTGGTATGCAGTCACCTGGTTGGACGGCATACTGATCAAAGTCTTTGAGTCCCTCCTGTTTGAGGACGTCCTCGTCCACCAGGAAATGACCCGTGTAGTTCTTTGGCTGGGAGAGGATGACATAGGCGGCGTCCGCAATGATGTCAGCTGTACGACACTGTTTCCCGATGTCTGATCCGCCCAACATGTCCATGGCAGCTGTCTGGATTGCTGCAGCAACAACACACAGGGAGAGCGGGGTTTGAATCACATTAGCATAATGGTAGCATGCTGGTCTACTATATGAGTCAATGAGGAGTCTGGTAGCAGGCTAACAGTTAGCAACTGACCAGTTTTGGGCCAGAGGGCGTTGACAGCAATTTGACCTCTGAACTCTTCAGCCATTCCCAGGACGCACATGGACATGCCGTACTTAGCCATTGTGTATGCTAAAAAACAAAAGGCAGATTGTCATTGCTGCACAGGTGCATGATGGGACACTGGATCACTACAGCTACCTGTGTGGTTCTTGAACCAGACGGGATTCAGGTTGAGCGGCGGCGACAGGTTCAGGATGTGAGGACTGCGACTCTTCAGCAAGTGAGGGATGACCAGCTTCGACCTGAACACAGACGCTGCTTAACCACAGCTGCTACATGTATCCACGCACATGTTACTCAACACATATATGCACTGTGGTTTCATATCTGTGGTGCCGTGTGTCTATTGTAACATGTTGGCAACACATATGTGCTCAGCGTCATACGTCAGGTATGTTCCTCTCAGGTTGATTCCAAGCATCAAGTCGACCTTTTTCATCGGCGTCTCCAGAGTTCCCGTCAGACTGATGGCGCTGGCATTGTTCACCAGGATGTCGATACCTGCCAATCAGAAAAGAATTGTAATGATGTCACGCTCCTGTCATAAGTCTGACCAGGAAGAGGAAAGTCTGGTCGCTGCTTCACCTCCAAATGTGTCGACGGCTTTCCTAACAGCTTCTCCAATCTGCTGCTCATCTCGAATGTCGACGACACACGGCAACGCTCTGCCACCGGCCGCCTCCACTGCAACACACACACACACACACACACACACACACACACACACACACACACACACACACACACACACACACACACACACACAATTGTGACTAATTTTGTAGAAACTGTGAGTCCTTGTGGTTGTGCTGTGTCGAGCAGTCTCTCATATCGTCACACTGATCACAGCTCCATTCACTTTGGCTGCTTTGTGATTGTCCATCAGAGGAAATATTCTGCTGTTCGACTGAGAAATGACGCCATTACTGAGGGCAGATACAGGTCAGAATGATCTGACATGTATCGTCATACTGCGTAGTGCTGCACTCGCTGCTGTTGTGTACTTTATTTTAACAGTTAGCCTGTTAGCTGCTCACCCTCCTGAGCCGCGGTGTAGATGGTTCCTGGCAGTTTGGGGTGGGGTTCGGCGGTCTTGGCAGCGATCACGACATTGGCTCCATCTCTTGCAGCTTTCAGAGCAATGGCTTTACCGATGCCTCGGCTCGCTCCGGTGATGAAGAGTGTGCAGCCGGCTAGTTTCCTGAAACATGTACACACAGAGACGGCACAGTTAGCTAACATGCTGTTTGATAATTCTCAGACACACCGTGAAGCCATTTTCAGGGTTGACTATCTCCAGAACTCCCACAGACGTGAGACTTGGGGAGGACACGGACGGTGGAGTGTCCGACAGATGCAGCATCAGCCTGTGGTTGAACTTCCACATGAAGGCAACATGAAGCAGCAACTTTGAACAGATAATGACAATATTTAGACCCGAACGAACGCCATCTCTAACCTTTACAGGTAAGACATGTTTCTGGGGCGGAAATCAGTATTTCCACTCATGAAAGAATCAGTAAGCCCACTGACATGTGCAGTATTGTGATTTCCAGGAGTCTGGACAGTCTGAACTAGTACTTACATTTTTTAATTTCTTTTTCTTTCTTTCTTTTTTTTATAACTGATATTTCTTAAATGTTTGCAATGTCCTCTTTGCTGCTGTAACAATGCAAATTTTCCCACCATGGGATAGTAAAGGTTTACTGTATTGTATGAAAATTCTCAGGATTTCGCCAAAATATTTTACAGAACTTAAATTTTTGACTACAGATAACATTAATAAAGACTGAACCAAAATCATGACTGACACAAAAAGAAAATCTTAACAGTGTTAACTTTATCCTACCTTTAAGATTTTTGTTTTATTGTTGTTTTTATTTTCCCCCAAAAACAGATTTGGTTTATTTACAGATAGAAAATGTTTGTTCGATTTAATAAACTTCCGTTTTTCATAATAAAAGCCTCCACAAAGCCGACAACAGTGCGCTCTTACTTTGGAGGTGCACTCTGTGTCTGATCGGTAGCTTGACTAAATCTTAACTTTTCTCTTAAAATTAATTTGACAAAAATTCAACAACACACACAGCCGGCGGGTAAATCCAGCACTTTAATGGCAGATCTTCCCGCCACAGGTAGAAATGATGAAACCTGGGATAATAAGGGCAGGACGTGTTGTTAGCCTGCGAGCTAACTGACGGCTAACTAAGTCTAACAGTAATATTTAATATGTGTCTGTACATGGTCACGTGGGAATAATAAGAACAACAGGGACAGATTTGGTCTGAACTTAGAGTGAAAAGTTAAAAATGCCCCCTCCTGATACACTGGGGGGCGGAATATGCACCCCCTCTATTTCTGACCCCAAAGGACTTAAAGCCACCAAATTCACAACATTTATTGATGATCATGGTCTGAGCATGATCTGAAAAGTTAAAACTGCTGAGACCAACAGAGACAGATTTACTGGGGGCGACCCCATTGCCAGAATATGCCCCTCAGGAGGGGGGCATTTTTAACTTTTCACAGTAAGCTCAGACCAAATCTGTCCCTGTTGTTCTTGTTATTCCCACGTGACCATGGACAGACACATATTAAATATTACTGTTAGACTTGTTTTATGTCCATCTACAGGTGACTGGCTGTCACTGCGGGGGCACAGCACCGGCCGAGTGCTGCTGTCGCCGAACTCCCATTGAAATATCTGCCGATTTGAAGTATTGTTCCAGAGGTGACAGGAAACGAGGATTAGAACCAAACTGCCAACAGTTTCTGAAACTCATGCTTATCAGAGTTAATTCGGCTCGATTATCGTCTAAGTGTGAACGTGTTTATTTTTATAACATTTATTTTCATGAACCTGCTCTCTTCACTACAATCACCGTATTGTCTTCAGTATGTTCCGGTTTGAACTGCATTCTCCGAAACCGTCCAGGAGGCATCCATGGGTGTTCTGAGCTGAGTTCTGAGTAGAGGACAAAGCTCACCAGAGCAGCTGTCACCGAACTCAGTGTAAATAATGTTCAACTCGAAAATGCTTTGCTAACAGGTCTCAGGAATGAGAGAAGAAACAGCTGCACCTGGTTTCTACAAGACGGAGCTTCACTATTCTATTCGGCTGCCGTAAAATCTCAACCTGAGACGGTGGGATTCGTTAAAACCTCAATTTCTATCGATGTACGTCCAGTTTGCATCGACCGCCAGGACTTTATTCAGCGGTCTTTTCGAACGGAGTTCTGTGGGAAGAAACAAAGACGACTTCTCACCCCGTGTTCTGCAGCATGGTGGCTCTCAGGTGAGTGAGCAGGTGAGGAACAGATCACAGGTAGTGCAGCAAATATCTGTTCTTGCAGCAGGTCGTCTTCTCCACCTTTCACCTACTTACAACCCAGGATCCTCCAGCAGGATGTCACGCTGCAGCCACTTCCGGTCTGCAGCGAAGATTTTCACAGATCGACGAGATGTCGAACGGATGGATTACATCTGTGATCCTCACAGTGTGACCAAAGAATGTATTGTGATGTATTGTAAGGTGATGCCTGCGCGGTGGAGCAGTGGGTCACTCTGGGGGTCACTCTGGGGGCTTCAGCCCGATGCCCTCCAGAGGAAGAAGGGGATGGACGGATCATGTCATGGGTTTCTGGACTAAAGTGTGTAAAACAAGAATTGTTCAAAGTACACCGTATTCTTTTGTAAAGTTCTGAGTATTCTTCTAGAGCATGAGCTGCAGTATTGTTTAAGGACTGTGCTTTGCATTGGTGGAAATGCTCTGACAGTGTATTTATAGCATGTTTACTGCAGAACGCACTCAGTCAAGTTTGCAACTGTTATCAAGCATATTTGTAATGAATATGTTCATTCCTCCACTGCATTTAAGTTTTACTTAAGCGCATAAAAGTCCACTTTAATTCAACATATTTTGTAAAACAGTCAAACAATAGATTGAAACCATCATTTCAGTTCAGCTTATTTAGAGCGCACATTGATGAACAGTGACACTGACATTAAATATGGGCACTGGACAGGTATAGTGATAAAATGATGTCCGCCATATCCTTTTATTTTCTTTTACTCAAATTTAAACTTAATGAAATCTATGGCATCTTTATTTGACAGTAGTATTGTTTTTGATCTGAATATTGCTCTTGTACCTGTTAAATCTTATTAAGCGTGTCTTTATAACATCTTTTATTTTGTCTCTTTCATTTTTTCGCATCAGCTTTCAAATAAGTACAAACAGGTATTTTCACATTAGTTGTATTTTACCTCTTTGGTTTATCAGTTGTGTGTTTTTATGTTGCATTTCAAATCTGAATAACATTTATTTGATTTTATCTGATTTATTTTATTGTACTAATTATCTTTGTTACACCTGTGTTTACGTCTTTAGTATCTTTATTTCAGTTCATGTTTTGTTTTAATTTTTGTTGCATTTTAAGTCTTGATTTCTTGAAGCTTTTTATTCATTTTAGAGTGTTTATGTTGAGGCGTGTCCTCCAGCCGCCATGTTCTGCCGTGACGTCACCAAACAGGAAGTGATCTCGTCGCTGGTGGCTGCGGAGGCTCGCGGACAGAAACGCTCTTCTCCTTCTGCTCCTCTTCCTCCTCGCGGAACATGGACGGGTAAGCGCAGGAAACCCTCCCGAACCTTTCCCGAACCCTCCCGAACCCCTGCCGAACATTCCCGCCTCTGTTTTCCCTCCTTGCTTCCTCCGTCTCGTTTCCTTGGTGACTGAATCGCACCTGCGCGAGCCTCCGCCGCCCCCTCCCCGCCTGTTCGTCGTCGTCGTCGTCGTTGTTGTTGTTGTTGTTGTTGTCTATTTATTTGCAGAAACGGTCCTGCTTCTGGCGCGCCGTTCGTCGCTCATATTTATGCGTGTGTTGCAGCTGAAAGTGTCGCGAGCGAATAGCGCAGCGGCGCCTTTGATTGGCTGAAATCTCGCGATAGTTGTGTGTTCACCTCCAGCGCACACCTCAAGCCATCGCTTTGATTTTCTCTGAATTTGTTCGAGTGTTCGTCTATAAATGTCCAGATGTGGACAGCAGGAATGGTCCCTACGCATATCTCCCTGTGACCAATAATCAATCAAAACAAATCGATTCCGATCCAATCCTTGTGATTACCATGACACCAAAGCTGCTCCAGTTTCTTTGAAGAAACAGTGAAAGTGTCCTGATGACTGATGGCATGGAAACAGGACTGATCAATAAGTGATCGATGGTCTGAGCTGCAGGTGAAACAGAGAAAATGACTTTAATCCAGAAACATTTACAGACCTGATCTGAAGTCACATCAGTGTAAACAGCTGTCCCATCTGGTCGTCAGTCGCCATCAGTCATTCTAGTCCCGGCTGATCAGCTGTCACCTGAGTCTGCAGCCGTTTATTTCATCTGTCAGGCTTCTTCACTGAATGTCTTCTGGTTAACAGTGACCTGAACATCTTTGGACTAAACTCGACTTTTGAGGAAACTCGATCCACATGTTCACCGCTGCCTGGTGCTTTAGAGACATGCAGCTGATTGGTTCATCCAGAAAATAATCCATAGTTGCAGCTTTCATCCAGACGCCTTGTTTTGTTCCATCGGGTCACCGACAGACGTCTGTCAGAGTAATCAGTGAGGCGATTGATCAATGAAACAATCAATGAGTCGACTGGTAGTTGTGAGGTTTGATATCAGTGTCTGTGTGCAGGAATCAGAGCTGCATTCTGTCGGCTGCTCTGCGAACATGAGCTCCTCCCACCTGTCCACAGGTGAGTCCTGTTTGTCTGCGTGAACATCCACAGTCACTGAGCTCTTCACTTACATGTGCTTCTGTTGCAGTGGATGGCACTGATAGGCTGTGTGTGTCTGAGCGTGCTCAGTGCGTCCCGTCTCGGGTCCTTCACCTGCGTCAGCTTCCTGCTGACGTCTCTGAACAAGAAGTGCTCGCTTTAGCGCTTCCCTTCGGCCGAGTTAGTCAGCTGATTACGCTGAAGGCCAAGAACCAGGTAACAGCTAACTGCTAAAAGCCCAGAGCTAACACATAACTGCTAGCAGCTAGCTGCTAACATGTATCTGCTAACAGCCAAGTGCAAACACATAGTAGCTAACATGTATCTGCTAACAGCCAAGTGCATACACATAGTAGCTAACAC